AGGAAGTGCTGTGACAAACATGCGATGTGAAGTGAGATAGAGCTCTCCCCTCCCGTCTGCGCCTACTTTGATTGTCATTACAGCGGATGTGTCATCCATGCTATTTCCTTTCCTTCCAGATACGACGTGGATGATGATCTCTGGACCCCGATTGCTCCGATGCACTACCCTCGAATTGGTCTCGGTGTTGCTGTTGTAAATAGGTCAGCTTTTGCTTTCCCTTTCACCTGATTGCATAAGGGGTTGTGAGTTAGGTTTGTTCTGAGAGAGATTCCTGTAATTTGAATGGGTGGTGTTTCTGCTTCGGCCGTGGTAATCATTGTTGAGGAGGGGCTGGTGTAGAGCGGTGTGGAGCCTCTATCTATCTTCAATCCTTTAACTGTCTACGTGTATATGGTTATTACAAACTGTGTAGACTGTTTAATGATATGGGACGTGGTGTTTCAACTGATGCTAACCCTCTTGAGCTGTTTTAACTTATGGGCTCTCAAATGCAGTGTGGTTATTGGGAACTGTGCCTCGTGTATATTTTGAGGTAGTTGGAATGTTTGGCGGTTTAAGTGGTGGCGTTTTCACCACAAATGTGTCTCTTGAGTAGTATAACGAAGAGGAGGTGCTGTTTGTGTTTGTTTGCAGACTGTTGTACGCAGTGGGAGGATTCGATGGGGAGCGTCGTCTGTCGAGTGTGGAACGGTACGATCCAGAAGCTGATGCATGGTCAGAAGTGGCTCCACTGAATCGACCTCGTTCTGGAGCTGGTAAGTTTGTGAAGATATCGTTGTCGTGGGATAGGAGTGATGAAGGGATTTGGGGTACTCGACTTGTTCCTAAAGGTGTGGTGAGACAGAAGGGGTTAATCGGTGGCTTGATTATGGACTTGCAGAGGGGCTGAGGAGACTGGTATGCTGGGTAGTGCTCGTGCAGAGTTCGAAGAATGAAGTATTGAGACGAGAAGTTCAGTTCACCACTTTATTAATATCCTATTTTGGGTCTCGTGGTCGGCTTTTCTTGTGATCACTCTTGCGGATCAGACAACATGAATCTTTAGGTGATTTAGAAGCAATTGTAGAACGTAGAAGAACGTTGTGTAGTGATATTGTTAGGGAGTGGTAAGATTTAAGGATCTAGTGACTGTGGTACTCCTCGCCTGGTACGTACCCTTGTTGAGCTGTATCGAAAAGATTGGTTAAGGATGTAGTGTTGGCGACCGGAAGAGAATCTGCTTTCATTCATGAGCCATCAGATATCGGATGTCTTTCTTGTTTGATGTATTGGCGCAGTTTCCATTTGATGAAAACGCAAGTGGCCCACTTTTTTCCAGTGGTGTGCGCAATGCAGTATCCAGTTTGAAGTGAAGACATGGTTGGCAGACTAGTTGTAGATGAGGAATAGACAGAATTTCTTGTCCAGGCGCGAGGGACTGGAGACGAAAGGCTAGTAATCAACAGGACCGGCATTGCTTGACGGCTTATAAGGCTACACAGTCCTTTTTATTTGAATAACGTCAGTATTCAGGTAAATCGTAACTTTGTAACACGCAAACGAAGATGAGTTGATGAATGCTCCTGGTTGCAACGCACGTTGATGGTTTTCGGAGGCTAGCCTCTTTCTGACGGCGCAGGGCTGGCACAACAGTTGCTACTGTGCTACTGTCCGTTATTTGCAATGAGGATCGGGTGGTACTCCTTGTCCATTTGCCCTGGTTCCCAATAATTAACATGTCACATGCGCAGGTCCATGCGTTGCCTACAGACGTGTACACATGGCCATGGAGGATGCAAGTAGTCAGTGGGATAGACGCAGTCTCTTTTGTCGATTTCCTGTAAGTGGTATGTCTTGATGCACAATAGGTGGCTTTGCTGTAGCAATGAATGGCTTGGCCTACAATTGCGTGGCACTTGGGTGTCTCGTGGGTGTGGTGGCTCATCCACTAAGAGGTTGCAAGGGCAGTTCCCTGTCTCCTTGTCTGAGCTTTCAGTCACGCCCCAGTGTTTTTAGCTCATGCTTTGTCGATAGACAAAGACGGAGGGAAATGCCACTGTTGCCTTGTTCTGTGGTCATTTTGTTTTTACGTGTCCCTGGTTATTTTAGAAGGGCAATTTGGCAGAGGGGGCCCTCTGTCTACTTTAGCACGATCGCCTCTGTCTTGTACGTCAATTTTTTTGTAGCATATGCGCTGACCGTAGACGCATGCGCATATGCAGAGTGAGGAGGCGGACGCAGAGACGCGTCTAAATCACCAGTGCAGTCCACAGGCACGCACACACAACCCGCCTCGTCTTCCCCTCCCCGATGCAGTCAGTCAGCCGTTTTGCGAGCAGCTGGTGGAGGGGAGGGTGGGGTTGACGATAGCGCCTGTCTAGACATGCAAACCGTAAAACGTATTATTACCCTATCCTCTAGTTTGCTGGGTTAGGGTGGAGGTGGAGGCGGTGGTGATGGTGGTGTTGGTGGTGGGGGGAAGGAGCCTAGTGGTCATTTGTTACCCCGGCTTTTGCTACACGTTGGTGGTTGCGTGTGTGCGCATAGTTGTTCGTCCGTCTGTTTGTCTGTTCCGTTGTGGCGCTTTGCGCCTCCACCCCCGTCCTTGTCGGCCTGCTAACCAGTCAGACAGTTTGGGAGAGGTGCAGTGCCAAATTATCACTGTGACAGCGGCGTCTACTGCCCTGCCTCGCCCCACCCCGTTTTGTCCCGCCAAATCTCGTCTCATGTAGCGAGCACTTATGTCGCCTGGTGGTGGAAGGACATTGGCCTATTTATGTTCCAATAGGTAGATTGGCTTCAGAGATAGGCCTAACTGATTTGTTTTGGTTTGGAAGGGCAGTAGGCAGGTGCTATGATCCGTTTCAAATCCCAATTCTGGTGGTACTTGTGCGTGCGTGCATCGGTGCTCTTCACTATCCCACCACACATTCTGATTGGCTAAATGGCAAACTCTGCAATTAGTGGGAAGTGTGTTAGAAAGCGTGTTTTGTCACCGTGGGGTCGTCCATCTTATTGATTCCCAAGTTCTTTTATTCTTTTGTTGTGTCCTTTTTGCACTGGAAACCGGATTCCTGTCACTGAAGAATTGGTTGTTCCATCCAATTAGAGTCGCACAGCAGCAGAGGTTGCCCATCTTATAATTCGGCTATTTTTTGCCTTGTTTGTGCATCGCTAATCAGCAGTCTGTAACCACGTGTCTCATATTCCACCGTGTTACGTTAATGAGCTGCTTTTCAGCGACTTGGAATGGGAAATGGTTACTGTTGTTAAGACTGGTGGATACACGAAATGTTTCGTACTGGCCTTCGGTATGGCTCACTTTTGATGGAAACGTGCTTTACTTCTATTTGCACTGCGGCGATCAAGATGTGATGGAAGTGTTCCATCCCTCCCTGCCGTTTGGAATGTGGTAGTTTTGTGGTATTTTTAAAATCCTTGTCCTTCCTCCCGTTGACGTCCACGACTTCTTGACAGCTGAAGACCCGTGAGTGTGTTTGGGTTTGCATTGTCAACTGAGACGACATGCGTTGGCGTTTGGTGAATTGTCATGCGTGGACTGGATACCCACGTCTTCCGACGAGTAAGCAATGGAGGTGATGGTAGCTATTTTGTGTCAAAAGAAGACGAAAGCACTTCCCACCTTGTAATTCGACCTTTGCGCAAATCTGTGTGAAAAGAGGGCTGTTTTTTGCCTCCTTACGTGAACGTAGGAGGGTAAAATACGCAGTCCCACTTCGAGGTGCTGCTTGTTGCTGTTGATGATGATGTTGTTGTTATTGTGTTTACATCACGGCCATGTGCGCTTGCTTGGTGGCATTTCGCCTCATTGACAGTGCGTCTTTGCGTAAGTGTGTGGGTGCGTGCGTAGGGTCACAGGCAAGCACCCACGTGGGCACAAATCGTAAGGCTCAGACAGACACTGCACCATCGCAATAATTTGTGCCGCTCCTCCCTCCATACATGTGTGTGTGTGTGTGC